AGGATTAAAGGTGTGAGTGCTACCTCCACCCCAGGGTGGGTAGCCTGCATACAATATAAGGGACAGAAAGAGACTTGCCTCCCTTCCCTCCATCCTCCTTGTTGCTGTTGCTGTCTTCTGCCTGTCATGAATTGTTCTCCTCTGTGATTCTTGTCTACTGTGTCATCCTGCCTTGGAGTCAACCAATTGTGGACTAAAAACTCTACAAACTATGAGCTAAATAAATCCTTCCTCCCTTCCTTTGTGGGCGTTGGGTATTTTGTCTCAGCAATGAAAAATTTAACTAAGACACTATGGACCTACCTTACAAATGGCTCAACAACAGCAAAAGAAAACAAGGTATACAGAGAGAGAAATAAAGCAACACATCCACAGCTATTTTGGCCAGGCAAGAACATATGGGAGTTTGTTGTATTAATCTTTCAAATTTTCTGTATGTTTGAAATATTTCCAAATAAGTTGAAGAAATGAGATGGGGCTGGAGGCTCATTCCACACTACATTTCTAAACAGGGCTTCCCTGAGCTCAGACATTATCAATTGGGGTAATGACAACTTCACAACCAGATTGCAGGTGTCAGGATGGGAGCTTCCAGTTCATTACAATCCTTGGGCTAAGACTTCTCCTTACAACTAGGTCTCTGGGTTTTAAAAGTAGGACATCACAACCATTACATCTTACAACTTTACCCGGGCGTGGTGGCTCACGCCTGTAATCCCAGCACTCAGGAGGCTGAGGCAGGAGGATCATTACAAGTTCAAGACCAGCCTGGGCTACAAAGTGAGCTCAAGGCCAGCCTCAACTGCATAGTGAGACCCTGTCTCAAAAAAAAAAAAAAAACTTTACCAGCACTATTTACAAAATAAAAATGGCTGACATTAGTTGTGCCTAACATTTTTGGATATCATCTCTTTCAACACTATAACACTATAAAGGTATTACTAATAGTATTATTGCTACTTACCAGATTATAAAACTGAGGCTCAGAGTTCACTAACTTCCTCAAAGTTCCACAACCAGTTAAATGCAAGGGCTGGAGTGGGAATTTCACCAACCCAGCCCCAAAGCCTGTGCTACATCACTTACATTGAATACATAAAACACATTTAAATACTGTTTCTCTATGTTCTATTGCTAGAAACAAACAGAAAGCTTTTATTTAGTTTTCTCTGTACTTGACAGTTGCCAATCTCTTGCTAATCTTCAATAATTTCCCACAACGTATGACCTAGTCCTGGTCACCATTGCTCACTCCTCAGTTTGATTCCTAAAAAACAAGTAAAGCAGCGCCAGGCTGAACTCACAGTGATGAAGGAGACTGAGAGAGAACTAGAGACTTGAGCTGGGGGAGTAGCTCAGTGTACAGCTCTTGCGAGCATGCACAAGGCCCTGAGTTAGAGCCCCAGCACAGCAACAATAAATGAATAAATAAATCAAATAAATACCCAGAAACTTGATTAGTGGACTAGAGGTAAATCTGTCAGTCCGTGCATCTATCTACCTTCCTTTCCTGTCTTTCCCTCAGTCTCTCTCTTGCCATGTCTCCCCGTTTCACCTCTTCCTGTGTCTTATTTCTCTTTGTCTCTAAGTCTCATTGCCTCTAAGTCTGCCACTGTCTCTTATCTCTGCCTCTGACACGTGCACACAACTAAATTTCAGAGCTGCACTTTGCCTCCTAGACCTCACAGATTAATAAGCTAAATTCAATAGAGAATACAGGAAAGAAGAGTGACTTTTGCCCCTGGGGGCCACCAAACTCTTCGGTCCACTTGGCTCTTTGCCTCTCCGGGGAAGATATGAGGACAAGCACTGCTCACTGTCCCCATAGCCTCCAACCCTCGTGGGAGCCACCTGTCCTCCATTCTCTCCCAGACTGCCCTGAAAGCTACTGCCCTGCGGCTAGGGGAGCTATTGCATAAGTGACGCTGGATGCTATGGGCTGACAACTGTGGGCACCCCATGGCTACCTGGCCAGGTAAGAGGAGGGTGACCAGCGATGGACCTTCAAGAAGTATGGCATCACTGAGCAGGTGCCATCAAGAGGCCCACCTGTGGTCAGGGCGGTGCCAGGGCCTTCCTCAGCTTGGCCTCGTGATTGGCAGAAATCTCATTACATTAGGCTTTGGCAAGAACAACCTCACCCCACCTAGAGTGGCCTGGAGCCTAACACCTCACTGGCCACTCTCGCCCAGGAGCTTGATCGCTTTGGGAGCACTCAGACCATTGTTCACATCAGAGATAGCTTTGCCTAACCTCCATTCAACAGAGAGCCTGCAGCAGCCTATGCTACAAAGAGGGGCTTTCCTCAGGGTGATCTAGGCTGTGAGCTCTATGTGTATTTTCCAGCAGGGGAGACCTGGTATCCCAGCAGTGCCAGCCCTCACTTCTCCCTGGTCACTGGGAGCTTTTCATGGGTGGATATACCCAGCACGAAATCCAGGATTCAGACCTAAGGGTTCAGGATGGCATCAAGACCAGATTTTTTTCTAGACAGTCCCAGTAAACATTCTGGCTACAGAAACAGCCTGTGGGGCTACAGCTGTTTAGTCCACAGCTGGAGTGATGAGGGTTGGGAGTCAAGTGAGCTAAAGGAGACCGGGTCAAGCCTAAGCCCTGGGAAAACGGACCCAAACGGACCCTGGGAAAACGGAGCCTTTCCAGTGACCATGGGAAGACAACCCTCTGTCCATATGAGGAATGGGGAAGGATGAAGGGTGGCGGGCAATAGTATATGGGTTCAATCCCTGCACCACCAAAACAAAAAAAAAAAAAAAAAGCTAAAGACAGTCAGAGTATACTGACAGTACACTAGCTAGGTTGGCATGAGATTCTAGTGTTGAAAACAGCGCCTTCCCAACATCTATGCACATTCTATAGGGGACCAGGGAGATACTAATGGTCTCCTCAAAGACCACTCTTCTGGGAACAAGCTGACCCAGTGCAGACTGCCCAGCCTGAGCACAACAAGGGCACGCAGTGCGTCAGGTAGGGGAGCGCCAGTGGCTCTGCTGTGCTCCTAGCACCCAAGCCACCCCCGATGGGCCTGGCACTGAGCGGACGCCCAGGGTGGGGCAAGGCCCACAAAGGCAACTTGTCGGGAACCTCAGAGGCAGGTTGCAGGGTGACCAGGCTGCGGGTGGGTGGGTCCAGGAGCAGCAAGCGCACAGCCATGCTCTCCACCCTGCGCCTTTTCACAGCAGTGCCTTGGGCCAGCTAAAAGGAGAATTCACAGTGGTGGTTACAGTGACAGACGCGAACACGCCACACCTGTCTTTTCCATCTCACAGAAAGCAGTTATTTTAAAATTTGGGCCCTTCTCTACTCCCTTCCCTTGGCTGGAGTTCTCTGCTGAGTTATTTTGGTTTATTTGTTGAAAATCAACATCCTATCCACCACTAAAACTGAATTCTTAGATTTGTAGTTTGTTTTTTATTTTTCACAACAGTGAGAAGGGACTCCTGTTAAGCTGACTTCTAGCATACATGATACTCTCTACTGTGGCCTGTATTTGTTTGTTTTTTGACTAACTAAATGGAAAGTTATCAATAAAGCCTTTGTCAGAGGATTTATTTCTTTAAAGAAAAAAAATACAGACCAATAAATCAGACAGACCTAAATCCTTTCAAGCCACATGACTTAGGGCATAATATATAAACCTATCCACACTGCAATTTCTTTGTCTGCAAAATGGTAATATTAGAAGTATGACATGGAGCCATTATGAGGACTAACTGCAATCATATATAGATGTAGCTCTTAATGCACAGTCTATGCTAAGCAACTAGCCATAATGCTAGTTACTATTGCTACCGTTATTTCTCACAGTCTTATTTTTCTGAATTGTACATTTCAGATGGTAAATGTGGCCAGGCGTGGTGGTACACACCTGTAATCCCAGCACCCAGGAGGCTGAGGCAGGAAGATTTCTAGGGGTTCAAAACCAGCTCGGGCTACATGGTGAGTTCAAGACCACCCTGAATTAGGTAGCTAGTCTTTGTATCAAACAAAAAAACAAAAGTTAAAAAAAAAAAAAAAAAAAAGGTTAAGGTGATAAATTTTATATGTATCTTGCCATAATTTTTAAAAATTAAATGAGAACAAATTGAACACAATGGCTTTTTATTAAATCACAGATAAGTCTCAGGTAGTTTAGTGGTCACTAATTAATTATTAAAAGGGAATCTCAGTAGTATAGAAAGGTTACCATCTTCAGGAGTTTATGAGAATCAAAACCCAAAAAATCCTTGTATCAAAAATGCTTTTAAATAAAAAATCAATACACTCTCACTGGTATGTGAATACTGGACATGAGTAAGACTTTCCAAAAATATCACAAAGCTTTTCTTTCAGAAACCGGTTCTTCCACACTTGCAGCTTTGAGAACATTGCGATCACAAGGGTAGCTAATAAGGTACCGTTCTTACGATACCTCTCAGAAATGTCAGCAGACACAGTTGCCCACAGCAGAAGTGGAAAATACTTGCTCTTGCACATGCAAAGTTAAGGCATGAAAAACCTAAATGGCTGAGCTGAGATATTCCATGAAAGAGAAATTCAGATTCCATATCCAGAGTCTCTGCATCTCCCAATGACTCCTCCTCACATTCTAAAACTCTGCCGTATCTTGACACCACTGTGACAAGCCCTTCAGGGAGACTGGCCAACAGTTTCTCCTTCTCTGGAAACATCCCTAACATCCGGTGGATACCTGCTGCCAAGCCTGTATCCGCCCGTACCTGCACCTCCCCAAGCAGGGTGGGCCTCATCCTGCAAAGCCAACAAGTGGCTCCCCTAGAATTTTGGAACTGAGAAGAAAATAAATCCTTCCATTTCCCACAATGTTTTACTCACAACTTCCAATTATATACTTATGTCTACATACATGATTCCTCTAGTATCTTTGTAACACCTTCCCCTTTTTCCTTCAGCTTGCATTTGGCTTCTGTTATGTGCCACCAAGAACTCTAATTCGTATAAATAATCCCTTGCTCCTGACTCACCCTTCTCCCTCAGGCTGCTGCTCCTCAGTGGGAAACTCTTCCTCTGTCAGCACCTTAACCACTGGTTTACCTATCAGAATTGTAGGGGACAATGGCGGTGAGAGAAAAGTAGTCACGTTGGTGAGACACGTTGACTGAAGCCTTTGGATTTAACTGAACCAGAACGGGCCTCGCTCAGAACAAGCTATTTGCAGTGCAGGTTTCTATGGAAACACAAACCCAAGAAAAAAACCAAACTGAATAAATAGCTGCAAAGTCAACTTACAATAAGCTATACTTTAAAGATGAAAGACTCAGAACACGCATCATTTTTTAGAAAAGGCTAGAGCTATCAAATACACATACGATATATATGTACATGTATAATACAAATTTATTATACATATATATCATAGTGTGTGCGTATGTATACTATATATATGTGTGGTTTTCCAGATCTCATAATTTGAACAGCTTCAGATCTACAAGTCAAAACTTTTAACTACAAAAGGGGCCCCTCCCTTGCCCTTAGAACCTCTCTGCTGTGATACAACAAAGAGGACAAGTGTCAGTTACTAGGGAACTCCAGGAAGTAACCGGCCTAAATCCACAAGCTAGAATATAGGCTGCCATGTCATGGCCTGGGCTTTTTAAGAACTCGAGGTCATGGAAAACTGAGGAATGTTAGGGGCAGGAGGGAGGATTTCCAGACTGATATTACAGAGAATAGTCAAATGCGATACATGAAAAAAAGGCAATGCATAAACTTTAATTGGAGCATAAAACTATCTATAAAGAACAGTTGTTTCTATTTTGTTTTTGAACTGTTTCTAAAGGACAGTTTCACAATTTGAGTTAGACAAGATTTTGTTTTGTTGTGCTAAGGATTGAACCCAAGGCCTCGTACCCACTAGGCAAGGACTATACCTCTGAGACACATCGCTGGCCCCAAATGTGGGCACGATCTTGAATAATATTTCTGAAGAAATGTGGACGTTCTTTGGTGCAAAAAGGATGTGATGGCCATCTAAGAGGAGGTCCTTGTTCTTGGGAGATGCCAGCAGAAGTTTGTAGGGTTGAACTGCCATGATGCCAGAGGCCTAGTGCTCTTCTTTCATCCTTCTAGTCATATTTACCCACTCTGCTCACACTCTCACTTACTCCACTCACACTTACGTGGTGCGCCCACCCATGAGTGTGAGTCCTACCCCAGGATCTCCAGCGGGGAACGCCCCTCGGGGCTCTAGACCACGGACACCGCATCTCCACCCTGAGTGTTCCCGCGGCACCTCAGACTCAAAGCCAAATTCATCTTTCCTCTTCCCCCACTGCCTGCTTTAAAAAAGTGAATAAAATCTGTTACTTTTCCTATCTGTTCTATCTTGATAAATGTTAAATTGAACAAGCCAGAAACTTCTCTCCTCTTTGTACCATGTTTAATCAACCATCAAAGCCTTTGTACCTCATAAATTTCTTTATCTCCTGCCCGCTCCCTATTTTTATTGTCTTTCTCCCTAGCTACATATTATAAAAACCTCTTCACGGGTCCCTCTTGCCTCCAGTCTTGCTGCACTCCCGTCTATCTCCTGTTCTTTCACAGGCATGGGTGTACTAACATAAAACCTGATCCGACCACCGTGCTGCTGGAAACTCTTCAGTGGCTCCCTGGTGCCTCCAGAATGAAATCTACTGGGCTCTTTCTCCATGGTACGCGAGGCCCTTCAGGGTTGTTGTCTCTGCTTTCCTTCCCAGTCTCATCTTCTGCACCCCACTCTAGCCAAACCCATGAGGTCACTGTGGGTAACTGAGTGCCCCCCCCCGCCAGCACTATGTACCGGCCCCCTCCTACCAGAGACGCTGCTTTCACTGGGAAGATTGCCCGCCCTTGCACGTCTTATTTGTAATCTCCATTGCTCTTCAGTCCCGCCAACCTTGACATACCACTCACCAAAGCAACTTTTTTCAGAGCATTTGCTTATGCAACGTGCTTCCCACTAGACTAAGATCCTCAGTGACACAGGACCTTGTTTTTAACTTAAGTGCCTAGTCCATTCTCAGTCTACCAAAGACACTCAACAATTACTTATTTAAAAACTGACGGGAATCCTAGTGAAATACTTTGTTTCTTTATCCTTGTGGATTTCAGTTTCTAATTTATAAAGCTCTCTGGCTGGGGATTTAGCTCAGTGGTGCAACTCCTGGCTGGCAAGCATGAGGTCCTGAGTTCGATTCCCAGTAACCTCCCTAAAAAAAAAAAGCAATAAAGATCTCGGAGCAGGTAACAATAGGAACAAGAACAGAGATTGAGTAGGTGAGTCGCTGCAGGAAATGGATTATTTGAAAACAGACTCTTCAGCCATTATCATCTCCTCTCTGAGATAAACCCCAGCCTTAGAAGAAAGCTGGGGAGAGCAGAGCTCTGTGGGTTAGCAGTGCTGGCAAACCTACAGCACGCATGCCACAGTGGGCTGTTTGTACCGTCGAAAACTCTAAAAGGTTCGCCATCACTGGGTTAGAGAGCTGAAATGTGAAAGATGAAAACAAGCCCATCTTAGATATCAAGTGGACTTTATTGGATTTAGAGAAAATTTACCCTACCCCCTTAATTCTAACTTTATAATCTTAAAAATACGATATCACATGTGTCCAGGAGGTGGTAACTGAGGGGAAGAGGAGGAGGCTGACACCTTCTGGATCCCGACAAACACTCGAGAACTTGCAGACAAAGGCTCTCCAGACGTGGAACATTCTTACTGCCAAGGAGGTTAGCCTGAAAGAGGGATGGACTCCACATTTGACAGCCAACCAGTTGCTCTCAAAGAACCTGGGTCCCAGCTACCACAGGGCAGAAGCCCATTTCTTTTTCTTTTGCTCTGTGTGTGTGTGTATGTGTCTGTGGGTGTGTGTTTTACTAGAGATTAAAGATTAAAGCTGGGGCCTTCACACTAACCTACATTCCCAGTCCATTTTTTAAAAACTTTTTTCAATTTTTGAGGTAGGGTCTTACTAAGTTACTAAGTTAATGAGTTGCCCAGGCTAGGCTCAAACTTGCAATACTCCTGCCTCAGCCTCCCAGAGTTCTGGGGTTACAGGTGTGCAGCATCGCACCCAGAAAAGGCCAATTCTTTCTCTTTTTTTTTGTACCAGGAATTGAACTCAGGGCCTCACGCTTGCCAGGCAGGAGCTGTGCCACCTCACACTTTCCAGGAAGGTGCTGAGCTACATCCCCGGCCCAAGGCCAATTTTTCAGAACACATTTATTTAACTTCTTCCTATTATAACGTGCACTAAGCTTTAAGAACAAGAATAAAATACAGAAACAAAAACCTGGCAGCGTTTGAACGGTTCAAAGCCTATTTCATTGTGACGGCTTTGGAAGCTGTGGCTGGTGCTTAGGAAGCCTCCAAGAAAGAGCTTGTTCTGCACACTACTGGGGCCTTGATTCCAGGTAACACTGAGGACTTCTTTGAAGGAAATCTCCCACCCACAGACCAGAAGAACACTCCCTGCTCATGCCTGGGCCTCACACGCCTGGCAAGGGCAGGGGTATTGTGCCAGGGCCTGGGGTCTTCTCTCCTACCTGTGTTCACTCAGACATGGAGGACAGGAGCGCTCGGGGCTGACAGACCTAGGGACCCAGGCTTCCCAGAGTCTAGTCAAGGTCTCTTCAGTCTCCTTCAGAGTTTTCCTTTCTCAGCACTTCATCTTATTTATCAAGAACAAGTTCCCGCTGGGGATGTGGCTCACTAGAGCACTTGCCTACCATGCAAGCGGCCCTGGGTTTAATCCTAGTACTACACACACACAAGCAAGTTCCTCTGAGGATCTTAGGCTTGTGAAGAAGGACACCAGAGAGGCAGAGCCCAAGGGCCCCGTGAATGGAGTGGGAAGGGCAAAAACAAACAGGCTCACAGGGCGGGGAAACCAAACTAAAGAGGATTCAAATATTGAATCACCTTTGAAGCATAAAGAGAGGCAGAACTCATAAATACCAGTTGGTGGCACCTATTCAGCACCAAAATGAAGAACAAAATGGACAGAGATGATGTGCGACAAGTGTGTTAGAAAATAGATGAATTACCATAAAAGTACGCTTAAAGAGCAGGACAATTTTACAGGAACAATTAGAAATTCAGTCTCCTGCATTCGATTTTAAGGGACAAGGAACTAGTCAAGCAGTGGAGATGACAGATAAGTTGGAAATAAAGTGAAAAATTTGCAAATCCCTTGCATAGGGATAGCAGGATAATTATTTAAAGCATGAAGGCAGTAATTTAGGTCTAAAATGTCACCACCATTAATTCTAAGTTTTATTGTAGTCTGTTAGGGAAGAGCTCTCTGGGGATTATGAATAACTGCTTCTTGAACTGGAAACTCTGCAAAAACAATTGACATTTCTATAATCCTTAAGGAATAGGGCTTTGAGAAAAATGATTTTTTAGAGGGCTATCTGAACATCAGTATTTGAAGACCTAATATTCATCCTTGCTTTATGGCACCTTCATTAATCAGCTTCCATTAAAGATAATGCCACACACGTAATTATATGGCATGGCATTATGTTAAATATTTAAGACTATGATATTTCACATCTTGGCTGTGGTGATGTATTGCCCCAATTTGAGTACACATGTCAATTTTTCATAGATTTCTGTCTACATTCACAGCTCGAGGGCCTGTAGCAAATTCATAACCAAAGGAAGAGACTCCTCTGTTTTTAAGTGCATGGTCTGCTGCTTAGCATACTTCCCCCATTTGTTTTAACTCTAAAAACCTATTCAACTTTCTAAAAAAAAATGCCTAACCTATTTTCCAATTGCACTTGCTTCCATGTTAGGTTTTTTAATCTAATCCCATGTGATTTTAATATCACATTGCACTTGTACACTGAGTCATCTAAATAATGAAGCAAAAGGAAACAGTGTGACTTTTTGTATGGAGACGTCAGATTACACCAAGCCCAGGATCTTGCAATAAAATTTAGCTTATCCCATTTTTAATACATAGTTCAATAAAACTCATGTTATAAAAAAAAAAATCATCTTTAGGTGGGGATATAGTTCAGTGGTACAGCACCTGCCTGGCAAGCACAATGTCATGAGTTCAATTCCCAGTACAAAAAAGAAAAAAAAAAAAAAAAAAAAAAAAAACCCTCATCTTTAGAATTTTTCCAAGTGGCTAGCAAAGGTTTTCATTTGTGAAAGAAATGGACCAGATT